AAAGGTTACCATAGGCCATAGTTTGGGCATCTCTGGTATAGAGTCCCCATCAATATACTGGGGCATTAGGACCCACACAGACTGCAGGTTGAGCGCCCCCTGCTGGTCTCACTAACACCATTTCTGGCAGCAACCTAGCTTTCCCATGTGTACTCGCATTCCTAGAGATGGGTTGTGGCTGGAAGGGCATCCGCTCCGTAAAAACTTGCTGGATAAGTTGGCGGTTCATTCCGCTGTGGCGACCGCGAATTAATAAAGGGACTAAGCCAACAAGAAAATGAATGAATGAATAATTATGGCCATGTTCTTTGTATTGCTTTTCACTTTAGATGATTTCAATAGTTTTTAGACAGGTCAGCAAAAACACAGAATGATTGACAGATCAACAAATGTTTCTGATCTGAAAAGCAAACATATTGTATTTTACTAATTTCTAATGCTTTTATGAAGCGAAACACTCTCTGTGCCAAACTCTGGCCTTCAAAGAGAGATCAGCAAAATGAAAAAAAATTAAAAGCAGAATGATTGGCAGGCAGGTGTTTCTGTACAAATACACAATTACAAATGAAAAACATTAATGTTTTAAAGTAATGACGGCCATGTTCTTTTTGTTGCTTTTCACTTTTGATTATTTAAATGATTTTTGAGTGCCACACCACCTTTGAAAAAAAAAAAAAACAGCCTTTAGACAGGTCAGCAAAAATATATAATGATTGACAGATCAGCAACTGATTCTAATTGGCCAAAAAAAACCTTGCTTAATGTGAAAAGTGAACATGCAGAATTTGACTAATTTCTGATGCTTTTTTGAAGCGACACACTCTCTGTGCCAAACTCTGTCCTGCAAAGAGAGGTCAGCAAAATGAGAAAATAAAAAGCAGAATGATTGGCAGGCAGGTGTTTCTGTACAAAAATACACAATAACAAATGAAAAACAGTAATATGTTTTAAAGTAAAAATTAGGAGACACACTGTGCAAAACTCTGTCCTCCATAGAGAGGTATGCATGAAAATGTTTGAATGATTGATGGGAAGATCTGTCTGATAAACTTCATTCATTTTATTTTCAGCTTATTCCCTTTATTAATCAGCGGTCGCCACAGTGGATTGAACCACCAATATATCCAGCATATGTTTTACGGATGCCCTTCCAGCCACAACACAACACTGAGAACACCCATACACTCTTGCTATTACACACATACTCTACGGTCAATTTAGTTTATTCAGCTCACCTGTAGCGCATGTCTTTGAACTGTTGGGGAAACCGGAGCACCCAGAGGAAACCCACACCAACACAGGGAGAACATGCAAACACCACACAGAAATGCCATCTGGCCTAGTTAGGGCTCGAACCAGCGACCTTCTTGCTGTGAGGCGATCGTGCTACCCACTGCGCCACCGTGACACCCGTCTGTACAAGTACAAAATTAAAAATGAATGGGATTAATGTTTTTAAAACTAATTACTGCCATGTTCTGTTGTATTGATTTAAATTATTTTTGATGATTTAAATGATTTGTGAATTTCTGAGTGACACGCCTTTACAAAACCCCGGCCTCTACACAGGTCAGCCAAATTACTGACTGATTGATTGAAGTGATTCTGACAGGTTATAAAAGCATTCATCAATGTAAAAAGCAAACATGTAGTGTTTTTCTAATTTGTGATGCTTTTATGAGGAGGTGCTCTCTGTGCAAAAATCTGGCCTGTAAAAAGAGTTCAGCAAAAAAAGAAAAGAAAAGCAGAATGGTTGATAGGCAGTTGTTTCTGACTTTGTCACTCCTTTATGACCATTTTAAAATAATAACAAGTAATATATCATAAGTACAAACCCTTTATTTAATTATGCATTATAGCTGTTAAAAGACATAAATAAATAATATTATGAAATTAAGGATATTAAAGTTAGGAATAAGTAAATATTAAATTTAGGAATAAATCAGATTTTCTGACTTTTTATCCAAGTATTACACCCTCTTCACTCCAAATAACAAGTCATCAAAAAAGCTGAATTATTGACAGTTTTTCTTCCGTCACTTTTATGAGCACTTCAAAAAGGCTTTTGTGACATTTCTATGCCATTTGCACATAAACTAGACCACACAATCTTGTTGCTTTATTATTATTTTATTTATTATTATTTTTAAAGATTGTTTTTGTATTTTATTAGCATGTTAGTTGCACTGCTGTTATGGTGATTCATTAAAAATATTAAAAAATCTGAATTTCTAATGTTTCATTCCAACTTAATAATAAAATAAAAGTAACCTACCGACCTTCCCAAAGTCCCTGCTCTCTAAAGACAATTCAATAAAAATTGAAGAACGAATGTACTGATGTATTTTAAGAGCAATTAAACCCCTCCAATTATTGGAGCTCGAACTAGCGACCTTCTTGCTGTAAGGTGATCGTGCTACCCACTGCATCAACGCTACGCCCCATTTACTAAAAAATAAAATACTAAATTAAAAAGACATACAGTTGAAGTCAGGGTTATTTGCCCCCCCCCTTTTTTTATATTTCCTAAATGATGTTTAACAGAGCAAAGAAATTTTCACAGTATGTCTGATAATATATTTTCTTCTGGAGAAAGTCTTATTTGTTTTATTTCAGCTAGAATAAAAGCAGCTTTAATTTTTTAAAAAACATTTTCAGGTCAAAATTATTGGCCCCTTTAAGCTATATATTTTTTCAATAGTCTACAAAAAAAGCATCGTTACACAATAATTTGCCTAATTACCCTAGCCTAGTTAACCTAATTAACCTAGTTAAGCCTTTAAATGTCACTTTAAGCTGCATAGAAGTTTCTTGAAAAATATCTAGTCAAATATTATTTACTGTCATCATGGCAAAGATAAAATAAATCAGTTATTAGAAATAAGTTATCAAAACTATTATGTTTAGAAATGTTGAAATTTTTTTTTCTCTCCGTTAAACAAATTGTGGAAAAAATAAACAGAGGGGCTAATAATTCTGACTTCAACTGTATATTTTAAAGTAATTACGCTCTTTGCATTGCTTTTAATCTTGATGATTTAAACGGTTTCTGAGTGACACGCCTTCTTTACAAAACCCCGTCCCCTAAAGACAGGTCAGCCAAGATACAGAATGATTGACGGATCAGCAAGTGTTTCTGATAGGCTAAAAAGCATTGCTCAGTGTGAATGGGCTAAAAATGTGCCACTACCTCTCTTTTATGAGAGAAACGGTTCCTTTTTGGTGTTTTATGCTTTTATAGAGGCACGGTTTCTCTGAAAACCTGTAGTTCAGTCTGTATTTCAGTAATATCTGTCAGATAGATGGAACATTTTATGAATGACATCCAAAAGCTTGTTTCAGGCACCTCAAGGTGTTTTTCTGAGTTATAATCTCAACTTTAGTTACTTTTACCTCTGCCATTTAATGCAGGCTAAGCAACAAAACTGTTTTACAGTACATGACAGTTATGGTTAGTGGTTTAATAGATTGATTTTTTGATGATGATGATATGTTCATGCTGCGATACAGACTGCAATGTGCACATGATCCGTGCTAATGATCTTTTCCATTTACTTGTATAGAATTGTCGTAAAATGTAATTGTTAAAAATGGGTCTTTGATCATAAATATATATATATATAAAAAAAAAATCACCATAAAAAAACTGATAGTCTTAAACTATTTGTAGAATTTATTTCTATGTAAATACTGCATGTAAAAGCATGAGGACATTTTCATCCCAAAAATGAGAGAATATATTACTTGAAGCATACAGTTGAAGTCAGAATTATTCGCCCCCCTTTGATTTTTTTTTTTCTTTTTTAAATATTTCTTCAATGATGTTTAACTGAGCAAGGACATTTTCACAGTATGTCTGATAATATATATATATTTTTTAGAGAAAGTCTTATTTGTTTTATTTCAGCTAGAATAAAAGCAATTTTTAATTTATTAAACACCATTTTAAGGTCAAAATGATTAGCTCCTTTAAGCTAATTTTTTTCGATAGTCTACAGAACAAACCATCATTATACAATAACTTGCCTAATTACCCTAAGCTACCTAATTAACCTTTTTTTGCCTACTTAAGCCTTTAAATGTCCCTTTAAGCTGTATAGAAGTGTATAGAAAAATATCAAGTCAAATATTATGTACTGTCATCATGACAAACATAAAGTAAATCAGTTATTACAGATGAGTTAATAAAACTTTTATGTTTAGAAATGTGTTGAAAAATCTTCTCTGTTAAACAGAAATTGGGGGGGGGGGGGGGGGGGGGAATAAACGGGGGCTAATAATTCTGACCAACTGTAAAAATATTATTTAAAAGACAAACACGTTTGCAATAAATGAAATACAAAAGTTGAATAAATAAATGTTTATAAAATAGATATAAAACTGAATATACATCAAGATGTGTAATCTAGATTTTACTGATTTTACTGAGATACAAATACATAAAGAAATTTATCAGGTTTTTTTTTAACTCATCCTGTAAAAGAAAAATTGCTCCCTTAATTAGTTTAATTGAATTAAACTTTTTTTTAACAACAACAACAACAACAACAACAACAACAACAACAACAACAACAACAACAACAACAACAACAACAACAAAATGTTAAAACAATTAGATTAACCTGATAGTGACATAAAAAACATTTGCTGTCATGCTTTTCCAGTGCAGTAAAATTATTTTCATGCTAATGTCCCATAACTGTTTCGAGCTTCTATTAAAAGTAATGCAAATTAATAAATAAAAACAATTTAAAAATAAAAAAACTAATGTTAAACTGATTAATAAATATTTCCTAAATCTAAGCATTTTAATATATAACTAAGTTTTGTTTCTTATTGTTTAGACAGATTCACCAAGACAAAATCAGACCACATGCATGATGCCTTGAAAAAACTTTATATCGATATTTTAATCGATTTCTGACCTAACGCACGCTTAGTTTTTTCATGATGAACATGGGCAAGGGTTACAGCGAGCGCGCGCTCCGGAATTATAATTAGCTCAAACACGCCTCCTATCGGTCACCATAGGCGGCGCGCTTCACTTCAAAAAGTGTCCGCACCATCAGTGACGACAGACACAGAGAAACTGATGGAAGAAGAGATGGAGTAGAAAGCCAGAGGAGGAGAGAGGGGAATAAAGAGGAGGGGTGAGAGAGACATTGTGATTTTTTTTATTTTTTTTTACCTCCCTCTTTCTTATTTAATTGGTCCTTCGGGATCCGGGGCGAGTCCTCCGCTCGCAGCTGCGCGGCTTTAATTGGCTGGAGATTCCACCAAAATACTATTGGAAAAAAAGCCCAGAGTTTATACAGTTTAGACACCGGTCCCTTCTGATAAAGCCACTCATTACGGAGACCAGCGCTGGACGCGCTTTTACGCAGACACTGTTGAGATATCAGGCGCGCATCAGCCGGAGAGATCTGTGCGCGCGAGCTCTCCATCCGCCTCACTCTGGAGAGAGCCATCGATGAGCACACACACACATCTGATAGGAGAACATCACAGGACAAGAGTTTCACACACTCACTCTTTCACACACACAGCATCGGACTCCTGCTTCCCATCAAGACGCCTCTTCTCTTGGATGCGTGCAGAGTTTGAGCTCAGCTGAAGTTGCTTGGATGAAATGTGTTGGAATTTTGTCTTGATTTTCTGCACGGAGAGACATCGGTGCCGAACACGCAACTAACTAAACACCTGGAACTCCTGCCTATCTGCTGAAAGTCCTTGCTTTTTTTTTTTTAAAAAAAAGGGGATTATTTCTTTTTTTTTTTCTGGGAAGGCAGCGATCTACAGGCTGAGCTCGCGCAGAGGAAGGTAGAAGCGCTACTTTATATCTGTGCATCTGTTTCATTATAGGGGTTTTGTGAATGTGAATGCTCGTGAGCGCTCGGTGTCCACACCCAAATTTATGCTATATCTGTAGGTTTTGTGGCGGGTATCTTCAAATGGATTTTTTTATTCACATCATTTACTCGAATAATAATATTAATATAAAAATCTGACTCCTTAAGTTGCATCCGTTCAAATTAAATAGAAGCTGCATATTCTCGCTCTTTATACATTCATTGTACGAGATAACTTTTATTTTGTATATATAAAACAGCTTATATTGACGTTCTATTAAGCTTAAATACATAATGATCTATTTTAAATTACTTAGAAATTAAGACTGGAGAATTTTTTTTGTCTCAGAACTGTGAAGGAAAAGAAAAATAAGTTAGCTGCTAGGCTGTTTCATCCATGAGTATTTAAAAAATACCATCATTTCATGTTATTCGCTTGATAGAGAAAGTGTAAACAGCTCTGGACTGATTTTACTCGTAATAAACGTTCAGTTCTTTATATTCTTGCATTTCTGTGTTCAAGTTTTATCTTCAAATATATGTCATAAAAAGAATTTAAGAACTTTTTGATATCTTTGGTAGCTTATTTGAAGGTATCTTCGTGTAAAACAGCTCCATATGACTTTCATTTACATAAAAAAACATTACCATTTGCAAAACAGTAAGAAGAACATGCAGCCCATACCATATAAATCGGTCTGTCCTTTCTTTACGTAGAAAAGGTTGTAATATGTATCTTTTGGTTTTAATGCATGCCCATCAGGTGATTAAAATGGACCCTTTGGAGGAAAATAAGGTACCAAGGCTATGTACATTTATGTCTTGACATGTAGCTCAGCCCAGAGTGGTATGGACTTTAACCTATAACCATTTAGTTAATTATATTGTTGCAGTTTTTATATTTAAGTTTTATCTTCAAATATATGTTAGAAAAACAGATTTAAAGAACTTTTTATATCTTCGGTAGCTAATTTGAAGGTATCTTGACATAATTTACATAAGACATTACCATTTGCATCAGTCACTATCCTAAGAAGAACAAGCAGTTATTCCCATACCATAGGTAAATCTGTCTGTATTTTCGCAGTTAAAGGGAGAAAAGTTTCTAATATGTATCTTTTAGTTAGTAATGCATGCCCATCATGTGCTAAAATGACCCTTAAATGTACTAAAATGGACCCTTTGGATGAAAAAAAGGTACTAAGGTTGTGTACAGCTAAGTACTTTTGTATCTGGACATGTAGCTCAGCCTAAAGTGGTATGGACTTTTACTTATAGCTATTTAGTTCTTTATATTATTGCAATTTTTATATTCAAGTTTTATCTTTAAATTTATATTAGAAAAATATAATTTAAGAACTTTTTGATATCTTTGGTAGCTCAATTGAAGGTATGTTGATGTGAAACAGCTCCATATTATTTCAATTTGCATGAAAAAATACATTACTGTTTGCATGAACAGTCACTACCTTAAGAACAAGCAGTTACCCATTCCATAGGTAAATCTGTCTGTCTTTTCACATTTTTACAGAGAAAATGTTCTAATATGTATCTTTTAGTTACTAACGCATGCATATCAGGTGCTAAAATGACCCTTAAATGTACTAAAATTGACCATTTGGAGGAAAATAAGGTACTGTTTACAGCTTTGTACTTTTATTTCTAGACATGTAGCTCAGCCTAAAGTGGTATGGACTTTTACTTATAGCCATTTAGTCTTTATATAGTTGCATTTTCTTATATTTAAGTTTTATCTTCAAATGTATATTATAAAAAGAGAATTTAAAAACTTTTTAATGTCTTTGGTAGCTCATTTGGAAGTATCTTGATGTAAAAAAATAAGCTCCATATGACTTCTGTTTACATAAAAAAGATGTTTCCGTTTGCATAAACTGTGAACAACTTGAGAAGAACTAGCAGTACCCACACCATAGGTAAATCTGTCTGTTTTTTTTCTGCATTTTTATGGAGAAAAAGTTTAAATATGTATCTTTTAGTTACTAATGCATGCCTATCAGGTGCTAAAATGACTCTTAAATGTACTAAAGGTTGCACAAAGCTACTTTTTTTCTCTTTTTTTTTTTCTGGCGTGTAGCTCTGCCTTAAGTGGTATGGACTTTTACCTATAACGTTAGTCATTAGGTATTTATATCATTGTATTTTTTATTCAAGTTTATCTTTAAATGTATATTAGAAAAAGAGAATTTAAGAACTTTTTGATATCTTTGGTAGTTCATTTGAAGGTATCTTGAAGTGAATAAACTCCATATGACTTCTGTTTAAAAAAAAATACATTACCGTTTGCATACACACTATCACTATCTTAAGAAGAGACTTATCCATGACATAGGTAAATCTGTCTGTCATTTCGCATTTTTATGGAGAATAATCAGAACTTTAAAGACTAAACTAAGCAGTTTATGCAGTTTATCAATGACCCGGAAGCTATGCTACCTAACGTTATTTCACAGAATTTAATATATAGCTGTCTAGTCCAAGCCATATAGTCTTATTTTTAGATTGGGTGCGACATCTGTGCGGTTAACTCGCATCTAATTCTTTGACCCACCAATGTTTATTCTTCTTTTAAAACATAAAGATCATAAAAGTAAAACTTACATGTTAGTAGGTTAATACACGCTCGCGGAGAAGAGTCGTACTCGCCTGAGGTAGTTACTATAGCAACAGTACGCTGCTCGGAGTTTCAGTCAAGATAAGTACATGACGTACTGTACCTGGACAGAAAGTAAACAACCGTAATCTGTTCATTTTAGAGGTAAAAATGTTGCGTCTTGTTTAATATTGTCAACAAATTAACTAATGTCATCTTTAGGACTTTAGACAGTCTACCTCATACTGGATACCTGATTTCAGGAGATTGCAGGTGTTTCTAACGTTACGTATTTTCATTAGGAAATATTTTTGTGAAATACGTATGCATGGCTGTAAAAGAGTGCTAAATAATATTAATAATTATTTCTTACATTATTTCAGAAACTTTTTAGTTGCCTACTTTTGTTTTTTAGTCACTAAATGCTAAATCCAGCGTTGAAATTACACAAAAACAAGCACAAAGTGGCACAATCCATGTTAAGAGGGGTTTAAGATGACCATTAACGGGAGAAAGCTAGTCAATAGGCATCTGACCAGCTACACTTTGAGAAAAAAATACATATAAAAGCTGTCACTTGACCTATACGTTTTTAAAAGGTCCTAATATGTATCTTTTAGTTACTAATGCTTGCCCTTCAGGTGCAAAAATGACTCTTAAATGTACCAAAATTGACCCTTTGGAGGAAAATAAGGTTGTGTACAGCTTATGTACTTTTATTTCTGGACAAGTAGTTCAGCCTAAAGTGGTATGACCTGCTGTTTATTGGTTTGTTGCTGGAATAAATAGCTTGAAACCAGCTACCATGTACCTGGCTTTTCCAGAGAAAGTTGAATCAGCGTTAATGCATGTCTGACCAACGTGATACAGAATTCCGGACAGGTTTAATAAATCATGCATTTGATCGTTCTTAACCGCCCACCAATTTCAAAAATAACCCATGATTGCTGCATTCAATCCCATCAAACAATATCAGAGCCCCTGTAATCTGCAGATAATCCAAGGTTTGGCAAATGAATTGTCTGTCCTTAACCCCCATGCATGCATGCACCGGAACAATGCAAGGATAAAAATACTTCCACTGGTGAATAATGTTTTGTTAGGCTACTTTAATCTCTGATGATCATGATGATGATGATTATGGTATGATTTTGGCTGCAGGAGCGCTCATTTTAACGCTGAGCTCGTGCTGTGGTGTCCTGTGCAGTGATTGTGCGCTTTTTTTTTTTCTGGTTTCCCCTGCAGGTAATGAGGGATCGCACCTGAAGATGGAGCTTTTCTGGATTTTATTATTTTCCGTGCTCCACCGCTACGTGCAAACACAAGGAGTTTACGGTAAGAAATATGGAACTTTTTAAAGGTGACAGTAAGCTTTTGGATTGGGTTTCCTCTCACAAGACTTGGCTGCAATGCATCCTGATGGGTGTTTTCAGCATCACATTATTGTTCAACAGTTTAATTGCAGCGAACGTCTCAACAGTGTTTTTTTTTCTGCCTGATTAAGTGCACTACGCCTTGTAATTTCAGAGATGACAGATTAAACTAGCAGTAGGTCATCACAAGCAGATATGTCAGATTTGCAAAGTGATATCAAGCTAATTCAACAGTTCTGTTAAATTAGATCATTATCAAGTAGGATAAATACTTCATGATTATAATAAGGATGTAAAGCGATTCATCATGGAGTCTTATTACATCACATGATTGTGATAATTGCATACCATGGCGTGGTTCACGTATTTTCTCCATTAATTTAGCTGCAAGGTCGCATTCGCACAAATGTGCAGTAATTTCTCTCCGGGATGACACTCATTCACCCCGGCGCTTGCCAAAAATGATTTCTTCTTTGCATAATTAATCTTTTTATGTTGGTGTACCCTCTGCATTTACTGCACTTACTGTCAGTTTGTGAAAGGACTTAAAGAGCTCAATTAAATGCGCGGTGAGAGAGAAACGCTCAGTTTGTCACACCCAGAGAACATTTAGAGCCTCTAGAACATTACGCCATGGAAAACAGGGGTTATTTGGTTTGTTATGGGTTGTTTTGCTAAAAATGGTTTGGCAAAAACAGAGTTGGTGTTGTGGTGAACTTCAGGATTCATTCTCTATGGATCGTAATTGTATTTTGTACCATTTATGTCACGACTCCTTAAAAAGTGACAAAGACATAGATTTTGGTTGGAATACATTAATATACTCCTAAAAATAAAAGTTTTATTGTAATAAAAATGTTTCATTCTGCTGAAAGGTTCTTTAAAATAAAAAAAGGATCTTTAGATTATACTGAACTGCTCTTCAATAGTAAAATTGATATTGATAATATTGATAATATTGATAAAGTATTCTTTTAAGAGCTTGTGAAACCCAAAAAACATTTTCTGAGGCATCATATATATATATATATATATATATATATATATATATATATATATATATATATATATATATATATATACTCATTATTTTTCCACAACTCTTTAGTTATGCGGTGGCATAGAGTTAGACCTCTTTCTTGACTTCACACAGAAACAGCAAAGTGTGTGGCATGACATCACTTTGTTGCAGAGACGCTATTGGTTAAACGCCAGCAAAGTAGAACACGGAAGCAGCTTGAAGCGAAAAGCACGAGTATGTCTGCGGTCTGGAGGTATTTTAAAGTTGATGACGACAACATTGCCATAGTAAGCTGTGAGATACAGTAGGTAAACTTAGGATTGCCTGCCGGGTATTTTAGGTTGAGGTGCTATTTGTTTTTATATTAGATTTCTTTAATATTTACTGTTGCACTAAAGTCCAAAAGAGAAGAATTTAGGTTATTTATTACTTGTTTGTTCATGCTACCTCACAGAAGTACTCGGTTTGTTAACAGAGTTGTTGAATGTTAAAATAAGGTGAATTAAATAAAAAATAAGCAACATCCTGGATCTGTTTCTTTGCTCTTCTTTTGTTTTTAAAAAATATATATTATAAAAGTATCGGATCGGGTTTCGATATCGGTAGATACTCCAAATTAAATGACTCAGACTCGAGGGCAGAAAAACCTGATCGAGACATCCCTAAATAATGCTTGTACTGTACATCCATCTATTGTATTGTATGTGCAGGCAACATCAAATATACTTTATTTAAATGTGATGTTTATCTTTTCCTGAATATATTGTGGTCTTTTAGCCCACTGTGAAGAGCGAGAAATATGGAATTATTTGCTTTTTAATTACTTTTTAAAAAAAAGCAAAAAATTCCAAAGATAACAGTGCTCAGCATAACAGAATACAGCCCATTTTGAAAATTAGTATTTTTATCCATTTCTCAGTGAATATAGGCAATGTAATTTGGTGCATTTAAACAAAACATATTTTTTAAACAGATATATTTATTATAATAATATTTTAGTCACCAAACATATTTAGAAATTGAAAGATAATACAATTAAATTCATGCAAAATATTGCAAAACATTAAAACCTACAAAATTTCAACTAATTTTTACAATTTTTTTTTTTTTTTGCTTTTTAATTTTTTTTTCCTTTTTTAAAATTTGTATTTGAATTTTTTTATAAAATATAAATTTAAGTGTACTAGTTTTTGGACCATTATTGTAAATTATTTTGTTACATAAGCATCAGATTTGTTCAGTACTGACTAATGTAATGTACATGCACAAATATAATATTGTATAGCTTCCTATTAAAAATATGAATTTAAAATAAAGATTTGAGAGGGGTGTACTCGTATATGGAGAGCACAACAAAAGCCTTTATTGATCATTACGTATTTTGAAGTGGAAGGAATACAAAATAAATCATATTATGTTCTTACTGAAAAAACAATGACAGCAGAATTGAGATTGAAGTATTTGTTGCAATATTGTCTGTGATGCGGTAGTGGAACTTTGTACCAGCAATCGGCTGTCTTAAAAAACCGTTAAACAAATAACGATCCAAGCGCCACTGCCAACATCAGTGGTGGAAAAAATGGCGGGGGTGGGCCAGTTACATACTTTGCCGCACAACAACTCGGAATTCTATAGAATGCCTAGGCAATGTATAAAGTTGCAGTCATTTCATACTTTGACATTCGAATTTAGGCATTCTATAGAGTGCTGGATTTCACACATTGCTGGTGGACTGTCCTGTAGAAGTACTATATACACTCTAGTAATTTTTGCTGCTTATTCAAGCTATTTATTAAAAAAAAACTGAAACAACACCATTCTTCAACTTAATTGTTTTATGTTCAATCCACTTAAATTTGTAAAAACAATTAAGTTAACTTAAACAATTTGTGTTGGGCCAACATGATAGAATTGTGTGGTACCCTGTATTTTACAATGCATATCACTGGATAAAACCAGATGACGCTTTTTGAGTGTCGTCTTCTTTTTCCTCACACCCTTGTCTTTTATCTACTCATCTCATTACACACACTTGCACACACACACACACACACACACACTCACACACACACACACACACACACACACACACACACAGACGGTCTCACCTGACTTTTAAAATTAATGTCACGCCACACATTTCTACCCCAATCACTGTAAGACAATGTTGACTGACCTTTTTAGTCTTTATTACTTTTAGTTACGCGAGTGCGCCAAGTTTAATTTTGTTGTGAAGGCCTCATAGCTGGAAGCGGAGTAAGATCGTCTTTACGGTGTGTGTGAGAGAGAGAAAATGCCAGCTCAGTTAATTAAGGGCGGCAAAGCCCAAGAGTGAGAGAGACTTCACTCGCACTCCTCTTCCCACTTTATGTCTTTGCTGTGGGGCTGTTAACTCTCTGTGATCAGGACTTTAATCTGTGTTACACTCTTAAAATAAAGTTCTTAAAAGGCTGATTACGGAGTGATGATGTAGAAGGATCGTTTTTGATTCCCCAAAGAACCTTTCAGTACATGGTTATTAAAAAAATGTAGTTTTTTTTTCTTAGTGTCAAGAACATTTTACACCAGAGAACATTTTGAGGGGTAGCACAGTGGCTTTATGGATAGTGCTGGCTGAGCTTTAACTGGGTCAGTTGGCATTTCTGTGTGGAGTTTCCATGTTCTCCCCGTGTTGGCGTGGGTTTCCTCTGGGTGCTCCGGTTTCCCCCACAGTCCAAACATATGCAGTACAGGTGAACTGAATAACCTAAATTGACCGTAGTGTGTGTGTGAATATGAGAGTGTATGGGTGTTTCCTAGTACTGGGTTGCAGCTGGAAGGGTATCCGCTGAGTACACTTATGCTGGATAAGTTGGTAGTTCATTCCGCTGCGGCAACCATTAATTTATAAAGGGACTAAGCCGAAGGTAAATAAGCAATGTGTGGTATAGGTGAATTGGATAAACTGTATTAAATTAAATTAAATTAAATTAAATTAAATTAAATTAAATTAAATTAAATTAAATTAAATTAAATTAAATTAAATTAAATTAAATTAAATTTTATTTTATTTTATTTTATTTTATTTTATTTTTTGCCTAAAATTAAGACAATTGATGGATTGATTGACTTTACAAAATAAATAACTTTTTCCTTTTGTTATGTCTAGAAATTTACCCTTATTTAATATGAAAAAATATTATCCTCGTCTCTATAAACTAAGTGTAAATACTACATATGAATAATATAAATAAAATCAATATTTTTACTATATCGTTTATAATAAAACAATATATAAATGTACATATTGCATCAGATGTTCTGTTTAATTTCAGAACACAACAGGTTATTATGAACTAAATCCTATTTTAGAAATATATATATTTTTCCTTTTAATTTTGAACTGTGAGAGAAAAGTTTGTCTTAGTTTTCATATTAAGAAATCATCTAAAGCCTCAGCGACATTATGCCATGCAAAAAAAAAGGGGTTAATCGAATACCAAAGTGTTGTGCTGAACTGTGAATACCATGAAAATACAGTAATGCAACAATATAAAATCCCCCCTCCCCCCTGCAATTTGTAACAGTTTCCAATATCATAAAAAACTTGTAATGATTTTTAATTTAATAACATCTAATATAATGCTTATGGTGCAAAATAATCTGTTTCATTTACAATCAGTTTGAGAAATCCCATCCAATGCACATGATTATTGCTGCTTATTCAAACTACTTTAAAATGAGCCAAAACAACACAATTCTTAAGATGTTTTTGGGGTCAGCTTAATTGTTTTATCTTCAGTCAACTTAAATTAGTAAAAATCGTTAACTTAATCGATTGTGTTGGGACAACACAACATTTTTTACTATATATATACACTGTAAAAATGCTGTGTTCATTCACAAATCGATTAAGGCTGCTTAATAGTTTTAACAAATTTGATTTAACTTGAAACGGGGTG